CCCCAAAACCCCAAAACCCCACTTAGCTATATTGTAGGCAAATCTTGATAAAAATAATCTCAATAATAATCAAAAGCATTGATCAATTGTTAAGCTTTTATAATATTTAGGAAATAGAAATCTTCAAGAAATCCATATCCCCTTTAAGCAAATCCATATTCTGCTTAAGTCCAACAATATCATCTTAAATTCCATAGATTTCTTCTTTAAGCACCTGAGCATTAGATTCACCGTCCTACTATATCTAATGCTTTAATGAGACAATGTCCTCTTTTTGGAGTTCATCAAATTATCTCTTTAGACTAGAGAGCTCAGAAGAATGAGTTGAAATAATTTCATTTTTAGACTTAGAGACAGTTGTTCTAACTGTATATTTAAGATCCTTAATGAAACCTTGCCATTCTCCAACCTCATTGGCCTCATTATTGATTTATCTTCTAACTACTATATAGTTTGGGAAGAAGTCTTTTCTTTCAAGTTCTTTAATTGAAAGTAATTCTTCTCTCTCTAGAATCATATTCGCTTTAACTTTATAAGATTCTGATATGAGTTTTTACATGACTCTTTCGTAAGATTCAGAGATCACAGCTATTATAAAGTTCATGAATACAATATTTAGAGTTAGTACTGCAAGAATCCACAAAATCCAAGAGAATATAACTAATGTGCTTCCTTACTTCTGATAGTCATCTAATTAAAAGTCTCCAGAAGAAATTCTGAAGGCCATCAAAAAATAAGCCATCCCATTGACACCCTTATATTCATCTATTGAATCAGCCTTGAATAAAACTAAGAATATCATTCCGAATAGTAAGATAAAAATTAAGAAAAAGCTGATGAAGTACTTTAGGTCCTTAAAGACTCCTGCCATCATCTGAACTAGGAAACTAAAGCCGTCGTAGATTCTCAAAAAGTAGAACAGCTTCATGAAGGAAAGTATAATTAGGAGGATCTTGTTCAAGATTAATATGTCTGAGTCTTCATTGGTAAATTCAAGAATGCAAAAGAGAATAAAGACTACTATATGAGAAAAATCAAAGTAATTCCAAATGTCAATTAAATAGCTTGCCTTTTAAATTCTAATTTGCCTTACTTCATGAATTAGAAATGAGAATAACACTAGACAACATATTATTTTAGTAGAAATTTTAAGTAAGATATTTGGCTGATGCTCTTACGGATCATGATCCAATTTTTCATTTTCAATTAATTTTATTTCATCATTGTAAGTTTTAGAAGAGTAAGTAGTGTAGAAAATATCAAAGATAAAAGCAGCCATGAAAATCAGATATATGTAAAATTTAGTCTTGTAATAGGTTAGAGTATATTCCTTCCATTTAAAATTGATAATGCTCTGGATGATCTAATTTTCGAAATATTCTGGCTTTTCCGAATCACTTAAGACTTTCATCAGTTCAGTAGGATTTTTTTACAAAGTTTTAGGCAAATTTATAAGATTATATTCTATAGAATTTAATGAGTCTTCTTCATTATGAGATAATACCTTTAACTTCTCTCCGAATAATTATTAGTACTTTTGATGAACATCTTTTGGATGATCAAGGTTAATACCCACAATCAGTTCCTTTTCATCTTAGTGTTGAATCGGGAAAGATGGATCAAGAATTTGATAGCTTGGCAAATTACTGTCAAAATATTCTTGCAAATCTATCTATTGTTTAAATAGCTCACATAAACTCTTATCAACAAATTAGTTGAATATAATGTGATCTTGGTATTTTAGTATGATTGATAGGATCAAGTTGATAATTTTTTGTTGTCGGTTTTTAATTGAGAAATCTAAAGGAGAGGGCTGACCAAGCATATTTGGTGTTACTAAAATCGGTAACGTTTGCTTTTCTCTTAGTGAGAGCTATTTTACTATAACCTCGAGGACTATCAAGTTGTTTTAAAACATATTGAAGCATGTGCCATAACCAGCTATAAACTTGGTGTATTTAATAGCATCTAAAGATATTTCTTTGATTATTTACTCATTATTCATTTTCTAGATTGATTTATAATCATCGATAAGTTGATCTGTGACCTACAAATCAAAAAAGCCGCAGGTCTAATGATCACCATTAGCAAAGATTTAAACATTACTTGAGTCTATAATTATTTTGAAGGTGTTTTCAAAGTAAAATGCTAAATACAAAGGTTGAATCAAATTTTAATCATTATTGATTGACTCAAATGAGCTCTCAATCATGGTATATAACTCAGATGAGTCAAGCTTATCTTTTCTTTTGAGAAGAGTTTAGGTAGTTTTGTTTATACTATTTTGAAAGGAGCAAATAACCTCTAGATTTTGAGGAAACTTTATTTAAAAAACTTTATCAATAACTCCATCATTGAAAAAGTATACATTGCTACTGTCATAAGTACTAATTTAAAGATAGTTTCTGTCAATAAATATTGATGAAGTTTAACCAATGGCGGATATTTCATTGATTCTCAATTTAGTTTCCAGACTGAAAACAATAGTTTGAGTATCATATTGTATGAGCAATATATAAAGTTATAAATCTATTAGAGCTTAGATAGGATATCCTTCAAGAAGTTAATCATTCAAATCAAGAATTTTAAATTCCTAGCTTGTTTTATCAAAATAAGCAACTTTATTTTTTGATAAAATATCCAAAACATATTTGTTTTTATTGTATCTATCCGACATTAGACAGAAATATTTTGGCTTATTCTCATATTATAAGTCAGACTATTTCCTCAAGTCTTCCAGACTGATTACTCTATTAGCATTCAGTATTATCTGACAATCAGTCTAGCATGAGACAATTATATCATCTGGTGAGATAGTCTGGACCTATTAACTTTTTGGAAATTATTTTATTTTATCATAAAACTCACTATCGTTCAAAAAGTTTTGATTAAAGCTTAGGTACTCAATACAGTTTTTCTCATACTCTTTGTTTATTTCGAGACATTTGCCAGTAATCATGTCTTAAACTACTATCGCATCTTTAGACTTTTGATCATATAGAAGATAGTTATTTTGACTATCTATTATCTAGTTTTAGAGTAAGTGCTCTCCCTAGAAAATCAATGGTTGTACATTATTAAAGTAGTCATAGTTAGAGTTAAGATTGAATAATCTGAATTAGTTATTGGTGAGCTTGAAATAAAGTGAAGTATTATTAGGAACAATTTCAATGTTAGTACCCTCAGGCTCATTAATTTCATTTAGCAATTAAAATGTTCTTGCATCATATACTTGAACGATAGCAACTTATGTTTTCAACTTGTACTCGACAAAAATTTTATTTGGAGTAGTTACTACCTAGCAAAATTATTATGTTTAGTTCTAAGAAAGTTGGTGAACTTTCGTAAGGTTCATATTATTCCCTCTATCGAGAGAGTAGAGATTTAAATCAGAATCCATAAGATACTCATAGTGACCTTTGTGATTGACAACATGAAATATTTTTTCTATAGTTTTTTCTACTTCAAGAGATACTTTATCAATAAATAGCGTCTTTGAATTCCTATAAAATAGAAAATGGTTCCTTAACACATTTTAATCAAAACTATCAATATTTCCACAGGGCAATTAAAAGTAACTTTAGTTCGAATCCTTTACAAAGATTCCTATAGATTTTTGAGATGTTACTTTCTGATAGTTTCCTTAGGAGATAAAATTGATGTCAAATTCGAGTCTTTAATCAAAAGTTATTGAAGTGACTTATTTGTCTAGCTAGAAAACAAGTTATCTGGTCTGATTGGAAAATTTACACTTCATAGTAATTGTAGATTCGTCTAAAATAAAAGCTTTTTAGATGGAAAACTCCTCATAGAAATTGAACCTAATTAAATGCTTTGCTTCTCTTTCTTCTAGATCATCATATCTTACAAAATGAAATGTTCTTTGTCTCTAGTAGAAAATATAATCAACGTTATTGAACCGTCTATAGTTAATGGAAATTCTACACTCTTTGAATTCATAAGTTTTAATTGATTCCCGAGTAGTAAGGTCATAAACATCAAAAAATCTTGAGTCATCGCAATCATCCACTTCGTATGCAACAATCATCTGATTCCTATGAGGGAGAATGTAATAACTTCTCAAAGTAATATTTTATTATTTGAACTTAAAGATGACAGGAATCTATCTATTTTCCACTATTGAGTAGTCAACTTCCTTATATTTTCTGAATAACCATTAATATTCCATATTTAATTTATCATTGATTCTTTTTATGATTGCTTGAGACTCACTGAATAATCTCGATAGAAGCAAGGGTTCTTCCTACTCATTTTAAAGTTGCAATTGCATATCTTAGGCTGCTGATCTAAAAATTATTATTAGAATTGAGTATAATTTAGTTAATTTACGATTTCAGATGAAGTATTAATTTTAAGATAATATGTCATAATTAAATTTAATGTATGATAAAAATTTCCCCGCATAAAATTATCATGAGATGGGGTTTTGGGGTTTTGGGGTTTTGGGG